GAACATATTTTGCCAAGCCTGGGCTCCAGCCTCCATCGACATTTGCCTCTGGATAATTTAGTCGCCCACGGCATAACCATGGATGGATCAGTTCAGCATTTACACTGATCTGTGTCAAAGTTGGAAATATATGCCCCACCGCAGCTGCCGTTCGACAGGCTGAATGTGACCACATTTTGCGCTACGAGCCACTGGCTACGAGTACGGAAAGGATTTATTGCCGAGAATTGGCATGCGGCTGGCATTGATGGACATCCAATTGTAAGATGGGACTCGTCACCGCAGAAGGGGCGGCCGGCGGCGGCGCGGGCTGGTGCTGAGGGGCGGCCGTGGGGAGCGGCGGCCGGCGGCGCGGGCTGGTGCTGACGGGCGGCCGCTCCGCCGGCCCTTAGAGAGGCCGTCCCGCGGCGCGGTGGCGCGGCTCGGTCGGGAATGGCGCAGATAGGAGCGCGGTGGGCCGATGGGCCGACAATGGGCCCGTTGGTGCCACTGGACCGACGGGATGCGGCTGCTTTGTGGCGTGGGATGTTTCCCTGATCCCTCCCTTCCCCTCCCCGCGTCGGCGTCGGCAGAGTAACCGCTGGTGGCTTATCTGGGCCGTGCTCGCCACTGCAGTCGGACCATTGAGACCTGGTACTGCGAGATGGTCCGCGCCATTGGGACCGGACACCGCGAGCTCGTCCGCGCCATTGGGATCTGCAGCACTGCCGAGGGGTTTCCAGCCACCCACAATGTCGCACCTTCTGGGATGGTGCCATGTCTTTATGAGGCTTCGATAGAATTAACTAGATCGCAATCATGCAGTGCGTTTGATATTTCTATGCGCGGTTAGATGCACAGACATTCCACAGTGTTTACGGTTACTTGAAAGGAAATTTCGTCTATAAAAAAAAAAATCCCGAAAGATTTGCCGTATTTGGGTATGTATTTAATGTGCCAACTGGCAGCATGTAAGTCGGCGCACCAGTAATCGTCGAGATGAAAACGAGCGCTATCTTACACAGTCACGGCGCAGTGTGTACACGCGTCGCGCTCAGAGCGTAGCCGCATAGTCACGTGACCTTCGGTCCGGAAACTCGGGAATATAAAGATAGGATGGAAGCGGAGCTGTTAAAACCGCTGTAAGGTGTGATCATGAACCCACAGATAGCACGATTACTTGCACCTCATATGCTCTCTCTCCCCTCCCTTCCCTTCCTCTCCCTCTCACTTTCTCTCTCTCCGTCTCCGTCTCTCTCTCTCTCTCTCTCTCTCTCTCTCTCTCTCTCTCTCTCTCTCTCTCTCTCTCTCTCTCTCTCTCTCTCTCTCTCTCTCTCTCTCTCTCTCTCTCTCTCTCTCTTTCTCCCTCTCTCTCTCTCTCTCTCTCTCTCTCTCTCTCTCTCTCTCTCTCTCTCTCTCTCTCTCTCTCTCTCTATCTCTCCTACAAGCATACAAAGTACGCGTACAAATTACACAAACCCTTTTAATACCCGGCACAGTCAACGCCGACTGTCGCTGAGCAGCTCAAAGGCAGAGTTGAAGGGAAAAGCCCTACCCGGACCTCTGTCGCGACCTTATCCCGCCATGATGGCGATCAAATACAATAAATCTCGTGTAGGCTGTGTACCTATAGAACACAAAGGATAGTTTGTGCGCTCACACACAGCTACAGAAATAAAGAGGTCAGCGTTATAAAGGCCGGACAAAGGGAAGGTGCTATAAACATCGGACAATTATCACCATTCAGCGCAGAATAGGACCATTCAGCCCGGTGTGTTAGAGCTTTGGAGAGCATTCTTTTGTATAATATTGGCGATATTCTTTTGAATGGTAGCTATATAAAACCTTAGACCCGTTTCAATATTAACCCGCGACCGCCTGGGGGGGGGGGGGTCGGATCCGACCCCCCCTCCGTTTTTCTTGAATAACTCATGAACCGCTTGAGCTATCAACTTGAAACTTCGCATACCTTCTCCCCCATCAATTTGACGTCTCCTGTGCAATTTTCAAAATTTTTTGAGATATATCGATTTTAGTGATGTAACTACATGGCGTTTTAAGTCAAAAAATGGTAAATGTTTAAAAAATCGCCAAAAATCGATTTTTTAAGCAAATTGCAAATTAAGGACATGAAAAGACGCAGCTCAACGAGTTCTTTAAAATGGCTATCTCGGATTTTCCATAAAATGCGTTTTTCACCCCTAAAAATTCAAAAAACTATATTTTTTGGAAAACAGCTAATAAAATCCAAAATTTTGAGAATTTCCAAAAAACCGGAATATATGTTATAGAGCTCTATTAGAACATTAGATGTCCCAAATTTCAACTTTCTATCTTGATTTTTGACCCCCAAATTGTAAAAAATAGCTCCAACATGCATAGGGCATGGTGACGTCATAAGCATTTTCGCGAATTAGAGGCACTTCTGAACATCGCATGTGAAAACAAATGGCACCACTAGATTCCTGGGACAAAGCTCGTCTAGAAAAGTGCATTTTTATGTCAAAAATAAAAAGTTGAAAAATTGACCTTTTTTCTTAGCCCTCGTTTAGTTATGTATGATATAAACGATTTTTTATGCTTTCAATGCACACTTATCACCAGCACAGTGACTTGGGGTCACATATAACCATTACCATCGGATTTGGCGTAAAAAATAAGCCATAAAACATGTGTCGCACGCCCATGTAGCAGAAAGTGAAAACCGTGACCTTTCGTGACCTGACCTGACCTTGACCCGTACTTAGTATGACCCCTATACGCACATGGTACCTTCACTAGGTCTTTGAGGTCATTTGTGGTGAGTTTCGAGCAGCAGTTATCGATTCCGCTGTCCGTAAGCCTAATCATGCAAAACCCCTGAATTTGACCTTTGACCTGACCTTGACCCGAAAGTTGACCTCAATCTTAAAATCTTAAGAGTGCTTTGGGAAGGTCTCGTAGAGACCTTTCGAACGCCGCCTCGCGGGGCTCGATACGACCATTGGTTCTCGAGATAGCAGGGGGGGGGGGTCGGATCCGACCCCCCCCCCCCCAGGCTGATGTGGGTACGGAAATAGCCCAGGCGGTGCCGGGTTAATCGTGCGGTTGCAAACAGGCAGATAAAGGTTTATATTTACAGACATATATTTTTTGCACGGGTTAAATACATATGAAGGCAAAGTTTGGTGATCAGAAACTTCCACTAAATTATGATAAAAAATGATGTATCTCACCCAAGGTCGTTGTTTCGAACAGACCCACGTAACTACAATGATATAAAACGGTTGGATACTGAATAAAGAAACTCAAAATTTGATCGAAGTGAATCCGACTAATCCATTTATACAGTCAGGTCAGCGTTAACCCGCGACCTGGTGGGGGGGGGGGCTATTTTTTGCCCCCCCTCCAGACTTTTCGATATATCTCCAGAACCACTGCGCCGATCGTCACCAAACTTTCAGTACCCTCCCGGACATCAATTTTACACATTGTGACCAAAAATTTTTCCAAAGGCTATGATAGGTTGGCCGGAAATGACGTCAGAGTGACGTCATGTTCTGCCGTTTTCGACCCAAAAAAGGGTTTCGCGGGAAGAGCTGTCAGGCCTATAGCTTTGCAAATACAGAAAAATGATACAGACATAAAAGCTGTAGAATAGACAGGGCTACAAAACTGCTATCTCGGATTTTTGAAATTTTTGGATTTTGACCCCCAAAAATCAAAAAATAGATTCTTTGAATATAATAGCCAAAAAATCCAAAAAGTTTTTTTGAATTTCGAAAAAACCGGAATATATGTGATAGTCCTTACCGCCTTCTATCTACATACCAAATTTGAGATCGATACCTCTTTTTTTGGCCAAGTTATAGCGAAAAAACTGTTCAAAATTGATGACGTCAAATTTTCAAACTCAATTTTCAGCAATTCTAGACCTTGTAGCACAAAACAAAGACCACCATTAGACTCCCCGTGACGAGCTGCATCGAATCAATACCCATTTTATGCAAAAATATCAACTTTGAAATTTGACCTTTTTTGACCTAACCTTGACCTGACCTCCACCAGAAAGTGACCTAAACCGTACCTGATGGTCTTATAACCAACACCATTGAGTTGGAAATGAAAAACTGGCCATAAAACATGCATCGCATAACCTTAGTAAAGTTGGGTTCATGTGGTGACCCTTGGTGACCTTTGGTGACCTGACCTGTGACCTGACCTGGTATGACCAGTGACCTCTAACAGCAACATATCTACTAGGCAACTGACGCCCTATCGCTGATTCCCGACAAAATGCGTTTTCCTCGGTGTTATAGCGCATTCCCTAGAAGACCCGTGAACGGTGAAACATTTCATCTTTGACCTGACCTGTGACGTCATCGGTGACCCCGAGGTCAATAAAATTTGGTTTCCCTCGACAAATTTGACAGGCCTTTCGAACGCCGTTTGAATTTTTCGGATCCGTCCAGTAGTTTCGGAGATACGAGGGGGGGCAAAAAATAGCCCCCCCCCACCAGGTCGCGTTATAAACAGACCCCACCAGGGCGCGGGTTAAAAAGCCCGGGCAAAGGACAAAGTGTTGTCTATTTTTATTAAAAGACGCTGAACTCACTTTAGACTGAGCAGCCTTACCGTAATCGCAGAGCAGATAAGTAGGTGCAGAACATTCAAAGACAGCACAATTACTTGCTAAAGAATTTGCTGCGGTAGAAAGAAAAAGTTAAACGACTTAACCGCCAATAAGCAGAAATCAAGCAGCCAACACATATTTGTAGGTTCTATTTGGTATTTTAAACGTGGTCCCTAATATCGTTAGGTGTCCCTAATGGTTGATTTTGATTATCAATGAATTAATCCATTTAAGCCCAAGTGCGAGGGCCGATAAATTGGAACCGATTGATGCGACTGCACAAACATTGACCAGGTAGTCGTTGAGGAAGGATGAAGTCTTCTGGATGCCGAAAAATGTGCCAGTTATGCCATACAGAATGTCAACGCGCCATATATTTACGGCCACGGTGTTTCGCACGCCCACTCACCTGGCCATGGATTCGTTGGTGAGTGCGTTGGTGACCGCCATGCCGGACACCCCGGGTCAGCTGGGGTCACGGTGCACGGTCAGGTCAGGTCACTGGGGTGACGGCGCGCCTCGAGCGGCCGTCAGTGAAGCCGGTGCCACCCGTCCGCGCGCTGTCGGGCACCTGTCCGCCGCCGCGGCACGAGCGGGGCGGGCTGGCGGTCCGGGACGGCGCCACCGACTGCCGCCGCCGCCGCCGCCGCCTCCCAGTGGCAGCCGCCGCCGTCGCCCCCGCCCAGCAGGTAGCCAACAGTTGGCCGTGATAAACTGAGAAGGCGCAGCCGGCAGATCGGAGGAGCCGTCCAATGACAGGCGGCATCTGCCGCGCGGAGACGCCTCGGCCGGGGCACCCGGTCACTCTGCACTCCGGTCCCCGGCCGGCACACGGCCCTCTGCACCCCGGTCCCCGCCGGCACACGGCCCTCTGCAGTGTATGTGTTACAGGCCGTATGAAAACTCAGTCCGTTTGCAAACGGCCTGATCCGATTCAGGCCGTTTGCAAACGGTCTGGACAGCCCAGTCAGTATGCAAACGGACTGAAAAGTCAGGCCGTTTGAATACGGGCTGAAATTCCAGGCTGTATGCAAACCGCCTGGAATTTCAGACTGTTTGGAAACCGTCTAGGCCGTATGACAGCTTTCGAGACACCAGGCCGTTTGCAAACGGTCTAGGCACTTTGAAAACAATCCGGTCTGCATGAAGATAGCTGGACAATGTTGAGTTTGTTGAAGCACGACCATTTCATGACATTACAAGGCAGTAGGCACCTGAAATCATGGTCAGGAAGAGATTAGCAGAACGGAGGCCCGGCCCGTATAGCGCCCGGTCGACTTCCCTCCGGACTTCAAAGTTTCGCCTTCCACCGCAATGGTCAGGTATTGCCGGCGTACGCCACCGGCCAGCCGCCGGCGGTCAACCGGGCGCGGTGAGGACCGGGATATGATGAAGTTTTCATACAACACTACCATAACCCGTACTTTAACCCGCGCCGGGCCTGTGCTCCGAGATTCCGCGCCGGGCCGGGGGGGGGGGTGTCTGAACACCCCCCCCCCCTTCTAACTCGGCTCCTGGGACAACGTAGCGACAGGCGGTAAGCGGCAATCGAAAGAACGTCCAAAATAATGACGAAAACACTTCGGTCATTTTTTTTGGGTCAGGTCAAAGGTCAGGTCACCAGAGGTCACCAAAGGTAATATGTTGACTATTTCAACATTTTGGAAACTGCCGACGGCTATCTCGGGAACCGATAGAGCTACAGCGCCGGAGAAAAGCGCATGCGATAGCCCTTTTACAGGCCTTTCTGAGTTTGTTCTCAGATTTGACCTCAGGTCAACGGTTTAGCCTCTGGAGGGCAAAACCTCTAAAATAGTCGTTTTTACGAAAAGCGTTTTTTTCGGCCATAACTTTTGACTCAAAAGAGCCATGACATTACTTTTGCCAGCATCATGTTCCTCTCGTCGAGACGCGTCGAATGGACTATAATTTGACCTTGAAAGGTTAACTTGAAAATTTGACCTCAGGTCAAGGTCATGACCTTACCGGAAAAGGTCATGTTGCATATCAGTCGATCCGCAACGTCGAGCCGAACACATCTATGGCGTTTTCAGCGCTCTAGCACGCCTCTATGTATCAGAAGTTATTAGCGAAAAACTGTTAGATTCTGTTCGTGACCTGAGATGACCTCGGGGACATAACAAGGGGTCACAGTTGCCATTTTCCGGTTCAGTGTGTCAATTTTACCTACATCTCGATGTTTGAGTGTCTAGAATAACGTTCGTGCAAAACAGACGCTTTTCAATTTTCTCCCATTGTTCACCAGGCTCCATCAACTGGATGGCCGATAAACAGGCGGACCGAGAAATTGTACGAGCATTACACCTTTTTGCATTTGAATTCAACCATTCGCTATAACTGTTTGAGGAGCCATTTCGACAATCGGCATTGTGCACAACTATGCCGTCGTGGTGTGTTTCATTTAAGCCATTCAGCAAAACAGATTGAACACTGAAATGAGCAATCTGCATAACAGTTTAAAGGTAGTGTGCCAGCTTTCCTGGACCGTATGGAGTTAATGGCCCAGAAAAGGAGAACTGGATTTTTAGAACTTATCCATGCCTTCAAAACTCATGGAAACGTCTTAAATTCTTCAAATTTTGAGTATCCCAGTGCGAACTTCGCCCCGACGGGTTGTCGGTCGTACCCCAACCACATTTCACACCACTATGAACAATAAATGCACACACTGAAATCGCTATTACCGATAGGCTCATCCAATCAAGTTTCGATAAACCCGTTCATCATCATCTCCTGCGGTTTCGAACACGCCTGTTAGGTGGTGCGGTAGACCGCACCCAAAGCCAGGGCCCCGGTAACGTGAGGTAGCCGAGTCGGGGCAGCGTGCGCGTTAAATGAAACACACCGCGCGTCCTCACGGTGTCATGTGATAGCCCGGGGCTGCCCGGGGATGCGGTAGACCGCGCCCAAAGCCGCGGCCCCGGCTTGGGTCAGCGCACGCTGCCCCGACTCGGCTACCTCACGTTACCGGGGCCCTGGCTTTGGGCGCGGTCTACCGCAGGTGGCTTCTGCTCATACTTTGTGGTGCGGTGGTGGTGCGTCGGGCCGCGCGCTCTGACTTCGGCCAAGAAAATGCGTCAGCTGATCATTGTCATTTCTGCCACTTTCATGTAATGAGATGGGGTCATAACTTTAGAGACGGCTGTTTCATATCAATTATTTTACATAAAATAATATTTCAAACCATAAATCAATGTTCGACAGCCAAATTAAAGAAACAATACCAATACAGGCTTACAGTTTAAATTCGACATTGTGTTGTCTACGATAAGACAGCTGATAACTCCTTCCCGTACGTCGTAACTCTATAATGACCTTTGCTTATTGTCACATGTGCGCCGCATTCGCGATTGTTGCCGACGCCTGTTTGCAGGTCAGCCCACTACAGTTGTTATACATATCGAAAAACCGATAAACTTTTAGGCAAAAAAAGCACTATTTTAGGCCCATTTTTGATTTTTTAGCGATATTAGGTAAAAAGAGAAGCTTCTTATCCTAGGAAAAATAAAATGGGAAATCATTGGAAGGTGGCACACTACCTTTAACCCTCGCCGGACCTATTGGTTTTCTACATACACGCCGGCCGAGGGGGGGGGGGCGGGTACGACCCCCCCTCGCCGTTTCGCCCCTGGTGGAGCTAGCGCGTCGCGGAAAAAAACGAGCGTGTGCGCCGTTACGAGACGCAGAGATTGGTACCCGATTTTAAGGTCCTAGGTCAACCGGTGACCTCTGAGGTCAGGTCAAGTGCCCCAAGGTACGGTTCAGTTTTTGGTGAATAACTTCGCAAAAAACGGCCGCAGAGCGCCGATTTTGGCAGCATCGTGTTTGTCTCGCTCAGGCGCGTCGAATGATATACTTTTTGTCCGGGTCAGGTCAACTTGGGGTGTTGACCTCAGGTCAAGGTCAGGTCAGCACCCCCAGGTCACGAAGTTGGTCGAAAGAGGTCATGTCGCATATCATTCGATTCGGCAGGTCTTCCTGAGTCCATTGGTGGCTTTCCCGACTCGCTAGCTCAATTTGATCAAGAGTTATTGACGAAAAACTAATATGACCATGATGACGTCATAAATGACGTCACGCAAGGTCAACATTGCAAAATTGACGCATCTAACCTTGCAAGGAGTGCATCAAATCACGATTCTGTGTGCTTGAGATAGTTGGAGATCGTTCCCGGCGCCAGAATAGCAGTTTGAATTTTTCCCCATTGACTTATAATGGTGAGGTCACGAAAATGACCTGACCTCATATGACCTTTAGGAAAAATCCGAGATATACAAATTGTGGGACTCATAATGGATACTAGATCCTGCAAGTTTCATTTCCCTGTGACATCTCCTCTGGCAGTGAGGGCGTTGCGAAGTTGCGACATCTGAAGACCGTGCAGAGGTTCACTTATGACGTCATAGGTCAGTGACCTGACCTGACCCAAAAATGCGGTTGGTGTCAAAAGATCCGGCTTGGATCAAAGGTCAGGTATGCCAAGTTTCAGCTCTCTATCGCCAGCGTGTTCGGAGCTATCGCGAAAAAACCCTATGGGGGGGGGGCGGCACCCGCCCCCCCCCCCCTCGGCCGGCGAGGGTTAACAGTTCGCCAGACTTCGGCATAAAGGGAGCCAGCTCGGCATATGACGAATAGTTTCGACCATTGACGATTTGTTTTGCACAATGTTGAACCATTCGTTCAATGTCGAGTTGTAGAGAAAGATCGTCGAATAGTTTTGCACAATGGTGATTCTTTGTGACCAACCGCCCATTTGTAGCGCCACCTACCTACATATATGGCGAATGCGTACAAATGTTTTGCCCAATGGTCAAAAGCTAACGCTAAAAGGTGTATTAGTAACATTGTCGGGAAAACGGCCGGGCCGAGCATCTGCACAGTAAGAAAATGTTGGACGTAGACGAGTCATTCGGCAGAATGCAGGGATGCGGAGTCGGAGTCGGAGTCGGAGTCGGAGTCGCCCGGAGTCGTGGTAGCGAGCCCGGCCCGGAGTCGGAGTCGGAGTCGACCAGGCTGCCTTGACTCCGACTCCGGGAAGCTTATTAAAATTTGTGGCGTTGCTTGCTGGAAATAAATTTATCTGGAGATCTGGGGAGGTATCCCACAGACCTCCCCCGGTCGGGGACGTATCCCCAGCTCTCCCCGGGGTCGGGTGGTGTTTGCCGGGATTAGGGCGCCGCCCGACCTGGCCAGGTGGGCCGCACAGGGCAATTTTAAATGTTTTGTTTGTTTCATATAAGGTGTGATGAATGTGGATGAGTGACTATGTATACAAAAAGATTATGAAAAAACTGTGATCAATGATTGGACAGTGTTAATGATTGCGTCGTATTTCGCATCAGACCCGGAGTCGGAGTCGGAGTCGGAGCCGACCCGGAGTCGGAGTCGGAGTCGGAAATCGCTACCACGACTCCGCATCCCTGGCAGAA